GCTTATTTTTATTAATATTATTAATTATTTTATTACTTTTTATCACTTTTTAACGATAAACAAAATTTTCTAATAATTTTTAATAGAAGGGTCTACAAGTGCCCTTTTTTCCTCAATTAGTACATCGTTGAGGCCGATTCTCAAGTGCGTTCGAGAAAAAAGCGTCCCGTCTAGCAACACTGAGTCAGTCGGTCGCCAGCCGGGTATAAAAGAGGCCCGGCTGTACGTCTTCTCACCAGATCCTGTTCGCTGCTAGACAGCGAACATCACTCTACGAGCGTTCTCGTAGTCCGACCGAGCGTCCTCGGTATTCTGGCCTCAGCATACGAGTGTACTCGTATACCAGCCGAGCGTACTCGGCTCCTCTAGGCACCGATCTTTGTGCAGCGGGCATTCCCGTGTACCTAGCCGGATCGCCGTTCTAATTCCGCCTTCGTACGAGCGTCCTCGTACTCCCGCCGAGCGCACTCGGCCCCTCTAGGCACCGATCTTCGTACAACGGACATTCCCGTGTACCTAGCCGGATTGCCGTTCTAATTCCGCCTTCGTACGAGCGTTCTCGTACTCCCGCTGAGCGTAATCGGCTTCCTGATCCAAATATCGCGTTTCTTCGCCGGGACTTGGAATCGTAATCCGTCCGGCAGGCAAAACCGCGTCGACCAATCCGCGCCGCCGAGCAATCCGCATCGATCTATTATCGAACGGACTCGCGACACTCCACGAACGCACTCACCGACAGGCGCTCCGTCGTGTGCCAACCGTTACGACTCGACCACACGGCGCTTGCGCCGATTGTTCCGCCGATCGCACTAAGACGCCTCACATCAAAGCCAATCATATTTCGCCGTTGCTTTTATATTTATTTCGCCGTTGCTTTTATATTCATTTCGCCGTACCTTTATATTCTTCTCGCATCGCAATCATACATCTCATTTATACAAATCTCACTAAGTACATTTATCGCAATCATACATCACATTTATACAAACTACGCCCAGTACATTTATCGCAATCATACATCGCATGCACACACAGTCATCAGACTCATTATTTGAATAAACACATTTTGCACGTGAATGTTATTAACATTCACGTGCATTCTTTCTTGACGTACCCCCAATCGAACGAACCCGGATTCCGGCTAGCTATACCGCGTCCGAAAAAGCTCACACGGTTTCACGTTTTACAATTTAAAGCAAGAGTTAAGATTCAAAGTTAAAAATTCAAAAAATTAAAAATCCAAAGTGTCAGGATCAGATTTCAGGTCCAAAATGTCAGCTGTGCTGCGGATATCGCACAATTTCATTCGTGGCGGCAATGATACTGCCACGTTTGATACCATTGGACTTGACCGCCCTTGCTCTCCGACGTGTGTACATACAGTCCAAAAATCTGGACAGGGAGAGTGCTCCACTGGAGTACGCAGCCAAGGTGAGACTCTGCACCCAGGCCAAACGAGAGGACTTAGTGGAATGGGAAAGAAGGGCGAGGAACATATACCGCACTAGGGGCCTGAGAACAACCCAGGCCATCCTCCCCTACTTCAAAGAATGGTATGAGAGAGTGGATGGTTACATCAACTTCCATAGCACACAAATAATATCAGGTCATGGATGTTTCAAAGACTATCTGCACAAAAGAAAGAGGGCGGACTCCCCACTGTGTGAACATTGCGGAAATGAACCGAATACGGCCCAGCACACCCTGGAGTCCTGCTCAGCCTGGGAGCAGGAAAGAGCGGAGCTTCGAGATGTACTGGAAAGAAGAACGGGCCTTAGTCTACCATTGATTATAGCCACGATTATTGGAGATAGGACAAAATGGAGGGCCTTAGTCTACCATTGATTATAGCCACGATTATTGGAGATAGGACAAAATGGAGGGCCTTCATTGCCTTCTGTGGAAAAGTAATGAGGGCCAAGGAAGAGGCGGAAAGAGAGAGAGAAAGAGAGGGATTAAAGATGTTCCATAATCCAAAACCTTAGAGTACCCTCCTTCCCCTTTCTACACAGGAGTATTCAGGTTCCTGTACTGTCCCAAGTGTCTACGGAACAATATATGGAGCCTTAAGAGTAATATTATGGGAGATATTGTGTCACTCCTTTTTTAGGGGAGAACAAACTGGGGGAAATAACCCCCGGAAAAAAGCCCGAGTTAAGGACGATTTTTGAAAAGAACAGCTAAGGGGTTGTGGTGACGTTATATCCTCTGGGTCTTCCGCCACAACCCCTACTAAACAGCAGGGATTGTTTCTAAACAAGAAGGGTTTTTTAGCAGGTAGGTTATGGGATTAGCGCAAGTATAAACTATCGACAAAAAAGTGGGCAGGTACGTCGATAGATCTCGACGAGACAAGCAACTTTTGTCCTATAAACATATAGGCGGCAACGCTTGGTTTAGGCTCACGGGTCCCCGAAAAATTTGGATCATCGATTTTCAAAATTCGGTAACTCGGAAATTACGGGAGATGAAAGATCGGACCTTAGGACCTTACTCGAAGGGCATCGAGAGGTGTTTCAAACGCACCCAGCCGTTTGCCAAAATTGTTAAATTTTTGAAATTTTTTTTTCGTTTTTCCCTTATATCTCAGCGGAGGTTGGTCGCACGGCTTCGGGACTAGTGCCATTCGACGTAACTCGACCCTTTCCCATATATTCTTCTATACGAGCTTCTATTTCGAAGGATTTTCGAGAAAAATAAAAAAAAAAAAAATTTTTTTGTTTTCGATTCAGGTCGACGTAAACACTACTACATCCGTTCAGGTCCGAGGTCGATAGGACGATTTTTTAAAAATTTGAGTCACCCACTGTGGAACTTCGAATTTTTTCAATTTTTTTTTTTTTTTTAAAGGGGAATTCCACGTCTTCAGCGCCTCGAGAAATGTCATTTGGACCCTCAAATTTGGGATTTTTTTTTTTTTTGTAGGGGGATTCATCGGGGGAGCGAAGTCTTTTTGGGGGGGGTTGGAAGGGGGGGCGTCGGCCTCCCCCATTAAAAAAATCACGGGAGGTAGGTACGGGCGC